TGTCCTGCCTCCAGACACCTCAATAGTTGGAGCTGGTCTCCGACAGTTGGAGCCACCAGTGGTCAACTGATAGTGTTGGGGATCCTCACAGTCTTGGGTGATACCAGTTACCCAAAAAGTCACCATCCATTTTTATTTACAATCACAATCCCAATAGTATAAGTATCTCCTATGTGCTCTAGTTAGAGGTCAGCCTAGACTGGGAAGGTGAGGCTACAGGTCTGCTATAAGACCCCAGGGACAGCACTGATGAGGAGTGTTCAATGCCACTGGTAAGAGGCCCTTGTTGACAGGGGGACAGGTGAGTCTGGAGACTGCTCAGAAGGCGGGGGCAATTGGAAGCACCTATTCAAATCTAATGTTGCTCTGTTTATGTGGAGTCTTGTAAAATGCAGTTTAAATAAGTTGAACAGTTTAAATAATGTGTGGGGTTTTTTTGGGGGGTCTGAACTGGGCATGGAAACAATGTTCAGTTTTCTGCCCACTTTCTAGGCTAGTTGAAGGGAGGACTTTGATCAGCGCTATGCAACCGATTCCCAATGAAGTTCAGTGATATAGTAACAGATTTTGATCCCATTATAAGTATTTCCTTTGACCTGGTAATTAATTAGTGTGGTCACATGGTTAGGTCTTAACTTTTTTTTTTTTTTAATACTGTGAACACTACCCACTAGTATAAGAGATTTTGCCCTTTGAGGAGAAACAGCATCAGCAAATCACTCTATATAAAAACTATTTCAGTTGGTTTTGAGAGTGATTGCCTGATATGAACAGACTTATTGTTCCCCCAATACACTGTAACTTTGTCATTAGTAGAGGTAAGGTAGGAATATTGTAGTGGTCTTACCTTGTAACTCTTCTACTTTAAATGTTTTCTGATAAGCAATTCTAGTTAATGCTGAAGGAATACAATCCTGAATGATTCATGAGGTTTGCTAATGAGACATTTTCCTTTGCAGCCTCCTAATTTTCCCTACAGAGATGATATCATGTCAGTGAGTCCGACCTGTTTGGTCCTTATTATTTTCCTGTTTATCATCATTATCTTGCTAACTAAGGTAAGCATGAAGATTTTATTTATGGCTTAAATATTATTAAACATATTCGTGAATGCCAGTGGAGTCAGCTGTCTTCACTCAGTCTATTCATTGTCTTGCTTTAGGTGACTAAAGTGTTTTTTATTTCCTAATAATTCTATAACTTCTTTTATCCATATTAGAGATTAACACTAACGAAACTTCCTTGGGCTAAACAAGGGCTATTCCAAAATCTATTTGGATGGAAATAAATTAATATGTTAGACATCACATAGCATGTGTAATATAGCAAAGCATCCAATACATTGTTTTCATAATGTGATATGTCTGAATTTTCTATATCAGTCTATTACCTGAATTTATCATTATTTAATAAATTGCATATTGTTGGGCATTGAAATGGTTTCTACTTTTTCCCTGCTTATGGTGCTACAATGAGTATATTTAAATGCATCTTAAAGATGCATATTTTAAAGCTAGAATGGATGCATAATTTGAAGGCTTTGATAGATTTTTAGGTTGATCTTCCCCGAAGTTGACTTCACACCCCCAACAGCGGTGTTTCCATTACCCTCATCAATTAAGTGCTGGCTACTCTTTTTCGTCTTTGTCAACCTAATAATTAAAAACACCATAATTTGGCCCTCCCTGGTGGCGCAGCGGGTTAAAGCACTGCACTGAGAAGCTAAAGCCACTTCCGCATGAGTTCAATTCCCGCCTGCCCCGGAGGAGACCACATGGTGTGGCAGACCTCTCCTGGCCCGCCCACTGCTCCCCTCAGCAGTG